CCCCCCCCCCCCCCCCAAAACCACATTCAAACTCTAAAACAACACAATGTCGTAAAATATCCCATGAGAAATTATATGTAAACAGATGTTTTCCCATTTAGACTTCCGATGGTAAGCGCATTGACCACCGCGGAAGGCATCGCGCCCTTGGCACGCGTTCAAACGGCCTCTTAATGATGCTGCGGCGCGTTTCGGTTGTTAGAAACAGGCCGTGATAAAACACTGACCTCCCGCCGCCATCCCTCTGGTCAGCGCGACCGCTGGAGAGGCCCTGCGGGTCACAGCGGCCCGGACGGCGCTTCTCAGCAGTAACCTTGCGGCCATGTCTTCCTCTTCCCCAAAAACTCTCAGAATCGGGCTGATGACGTCGAAGAGGCGTTTACGTAACTATCGCGTCGCGTGAGTTATACGTCAGCAACCTATGTATTCCATACGCTCTGATGTGAAGTGAACGGCTGGCAATGGTTCTTGGACAGATAAAGCCTTTTACTTACAAAAATGTTCCATTGAAATTGTTATTTTGTAAGTTGTAAGTTGTTGTTACAGCTGTAAAATCATAAAAATTATTTGAGATCTCCTTCAAACTAAATCTTCTGTTTTGTTTCATTTACAAGTTTTTGACTATGTGTGTGTACTGTATATACATATATATATATATATATGTGTGTGTGTGTATGTATATATATATATATATATATATACTTGTAGTTATTTTTTTGTGAGGAAAGTAATTAATACATTTTGGGTGAGAATGCACATGTTTTCAGGAATCTGGGAATATTTTCATTTATTACAATGCTGGAGTTTATTTTCTGTTCTTTGTTTGATTGCTATATTTGAATCAACATGAAAAGAACATCAAACTTTTATTGAACTTTATTTGGATAAAGTAAGAAAACAGATTTTTCAAAAGCCCAGTAACATAATTAAAACACATTAACAAACCATAATCATTTTGTTACATGATACTGCATCTGATTGGTTACTGTAGACTTAAAGAAGCTCAACATAATTAGCAGGAAACAATCCGTAGTGACCATCAGGACTGTAACCTCTCCACCAGCCCTCATCTATCATCTCGATCCCTGTGATAATATCATCCGGGTCAAAAGTGATCTCTGAGTCATCCACTAAATGAGAAACAAAGAAGAAAATATAGTGCATAAATTGATGTGTTTTTAATACCACATCTTCACTGATTATTAGAGTTTGGAATATTGTAAAATGATTTATTTTCTAAATTTAATCAGGCCTAGCTTTACTGAATTTTATATATATATAATATTTGTATACATAAAATTTGATCATAAAATAAATTAAAATATTTATATATGATTAATTTATCATTAAAATAAATTACTTAGATAATACAGTAGAACTACACCACTCACAAGCTTGGTAGTCATAAAGTGCTCTTGCGCAGATGTTCTGGTTTTCGCCTGTCTCCTCTTCCTCACCAGCATGGGTTTGGAAATCCTTCAAATTATATGATAAATAATGCCATTCGTGTGACACTGAAATCTATTGTACATAATATTTTATACCCAGCTGAAGTATTATTATTACTACAGAAAAATATGTCCTAATACATCATGGCAGCAAGGTTTTGGATGACAAGACAAGGAACAAACCTGGTTAACGTTCTCATAGAGACTTTCATGTGAGGGGATGTTCATGTAGATGTTGTTTACATCATAACTTTGCTGTTTCCCAGCATTAGGGCTCGATCCCTCCTCACCTGAATCTGCTGCAGGATACACAGTAAGTAAGATTTCAGGCATAATTATAACACTGACCGACGTTAATAAGCTTTACAGCGAGAACACATACCATCCCATTCATCTTCAGAATCTTCAGCTTGTTCAGATACAAATGGATCATCAGAGAAGGGGTCTGAAAGACAGCAATAAAGCAACTTATCACTTAACTGTTACATAATGTCAAACCACAGAAATAAAAAGGATTGCTGCTTTTACTCACCTTCATATTTTACTGGGAAAGCCGGAGTTTCGTGCACAGGAGAGACTGGAGCTGGTATATGTGAAACTGAGGCAGCTGCCGCAGGGCGAACTGGAGATAGGGGCTGAGACCTGCTTTCATTGGGAGGGTTTTCTGCACTGACTGCTTGCTGGGATAAAAATGGGCTTCTCAACTGACCTGGGGGAAAAGACATGAATTTCTGAATTTTGGGATAAAAGGTTTTGTCGGAAGTTCTTTTGATGAATTGTTGGACAGGAGTTTTCTTTACCTGGTCGGGTGACTGAAGAAGGTGTTGCACTGTTGGCCAAGCTTCTCTCCTTCTGCATGAACAGCTCTCTGGGATTGATGGAACGCTGAGAGATGATTGATGCTGCCTCCTGAAAAAAGGTAGAAAATGCTATTTTATGTCCTTTCATTTCTTTTTTTTGCCCTTTCTTACTTACACTTCAATGTATAATAGAGGAAAACACTAGGATTCCGGAAGTAAAATCCCATTCATTTTCTCCTTAAATAACTTTTTTGTTTCGAACGTTTTTTAATGATAATGTGTAAACTATTCAAGACAGACCATAAGTCAATATTTTTATATAATACTATTGTTTGATATTTTATTACATAATTCACAATGCTTTGTGGGAAGTGTATTTCATTTGATCATTAAAAAATGGTCTGATTTTCATATACTTTTTTCTTTGAACCCGTGATTCATCTCTGAGCTTAGAACTCTTTACTAAAGGGTTTTTTTAAAATCTCTTTGGAGAAATTCAATGGGAAATATACTCTGAGATCCAAGGACACTCTCTGTGCTGCATTTTATTTTGACTCATCAAAGGTGAACTCACATTGGCCTTCTGCACAGACTCAGATCGCAATATTCCTGCTTTGACAGGAGACTGGTGTTCCTTCTGCTCTTTCTCCTTAACAACAAGTGAGGCAATCAAGAGTGACTAACATGATATATTAAATATGATTTTATCATGTTCAGATTTATTGCAGGTAATAATTTTACCAATTTTCTTTGCTCCTGTTCTTTATTTCCTGCCTCTTGTTTCTTTTCAAACAGCCTGTGAGACAAGTAGGAAGTTATTTAGCAATCACGTACAGCCAAAGCAACTCCATTTTTGCATACATTACTGTTCAAAAGTTTGAGGACAGTAAGATTTTTTAATGTTTTTTGAAATAGCTCTCTTATGCATTTATTTGATCTAAAATATAGAAAAAGAACAAAAAAGTAAAATTGTGAAATATTATTACAATTTAAAAATAACTTTTCTATTTTAAGATATTATAAAATGTAATTTATTCATGTGATGCAAAGCTGAATTTTCAGCATCATTACTCTGGTCTTCAGTCACAGTGACTTCAGTGCTCTAATATGATAATTTGATGCTCAAGAAACATTTATTATTACCATCAATGTTGAAAACATTTTTGGTGGAAAATAATTTTTTGATGATTCTTTGAAAGTTCAAAAGAACAGCATCATTTGAAATACAAATCTTTTGTAACTGTCACTTTTGATCAAATTAACATGTCGTTGCTGAATAAGAACATAAATATATTTCCGGTCCCAAACTTTTGAACGGTAGTGTATATACCAGCGGTGGCGAACTCCGGTCCTGGAGAGCCGCAGCCCTGCAGAGTTCAGCTCTAACCCTAATTAAAACTCACCTGCCTGTAGCTTCCTAATAACCGTTCAGACCTTGATTCGCTTGTTCGGGTGTGTTTGATTAGGGTTGAAGCAAAACTCTGCAGGGCTGCGGCTCGCCAGGACCGACGTTCGCCACCCCTGGTATATACTATTTGATGATATGAACAGGACAGACACAAAATCACTCGCCTCTGTTGGTCGATCCCTTGCTCTCTCTCCCTCCGCCTTTGTTCTCGTTCGTTTGCCTCTCGAGCGTCCTGCTCCCTCCGTTCTTTCTCCTGACGCTGCCTCTCCTCATTTGCCTTCCTGCGCTCCTCCTGCCGCCGGTTCTTTTCATCTTGCTGATAAAGGAGATGGAAGAGAATGTGTCAAGACAACAAAGAGCAGATGAGAAGATAAAAGCATTGTGTTTTACCGTGCTGTTTCCTCACCTCAGCCTGAACCCAGAAGTTGTCTCTGTCCGTAATTTGGATTTCATCTAAAGCACTGACCTTTTTATAGACAGAACCCTGTGGGAACAAAGACATTGGAGTAATTCAGAAAGCAAACATGCAGATATTCAAAGCCTCTAGAAATATGAGGTATGGACATAACTCATCGCTTCACTCACCACACGTCCAAGAGGTTCGCAATTATTGTTCTGGCTTGATTCTTTGTGGATGTTGTAGTTGACGCCTGAGCCCTTGGCCACCTTTTCCATGATGGCAGCAGGTTCAACATCATCATCTGATCGAGCGTTGATGGTCACATGGGCACCCTTTAATAAAATACACATTCAAAATTAGGAATTTGTAGCGAATGAAATGACATGACCCTAATGTAACTACAAAATGAAAATCGAGAATTATAATAAGCTGCATCAAACACTCACCCTCAGAAAATTGGACATTGAATGAACGTGGTTGGCGCAAACACCCTTTCTAATGTCCTTGACTCCCTCGCCAGTCTGAAACCAAATAATAGTATAAAGATGATTGCTAAAATGGAGATTGAGGGGTTAATGGGATAGTTCACTCAAAAATTCTGTCATCATTCATTTTTATTCCCTCCATCGAAAGTCAAGGTAACCAAAATGTAGACAATCCAAAAGGATCATAATTGCATCATACAACGAATCCATATGAATCAAGCGGTTTAATCCAAGTTATGCAAAGAGATACTGTCGCTTTATATGATTTATCTGATCTAAACTATGACCTTTTTGGATCTTTATTTTAGTTCCCTGGAATTTCAGTGGAGGGACACTTCTCTGGTTTCTTTTAAATCTTAATTTGTTTTTGTTTTGAAGATTAACCTAAGTCTTATTGGTTTGGAACATGAGGTTGAGTAAATGATGACAATTGATTTTTTTTCATTTTACATTATAAAGTAGGCTAGTTCTCATCAGTACATTCGGTTTTGGACATTTTTGTCCATTCGTACCCAGTTGATGAGCACAAACTTGGGAACTCCAGAGCTGGGGTCCAACACTTTACAGAAGGCGTACATGATTTTACCGCTGTTCAGTTCCTCCACCATTTCTTCAAGCCCACCATCTATGGCACACTCAGAGAAAACATATAAGCATTTGTAATTGTCAACTGCTGTTGACCCATCAAATAGGACAAAAAAGAATGACATCACTCTATTTGGCATTCTTATCTGCAATAATATCTTATTTAAAACTCACTCACCTCCCTTCCCTGCAACCCGAATGTCATTACTGTTTCCTTCATAGGTGAACAACACCCTAATCAACAAATACAGTTTATTTGTATGCAGGACCCTTCTGTTACAAAATTACTTAAGGTAACCACTATAAATGACAACATACATCTATAACGTGAAAATTAAATTAACCCCTTAACTGTTCCGGTCCCACCTGTGGGACGTTTGGCGCTCTTTTTTTTGTTGTCTTTTTTCTCTATCAAATCTTTTAGTAATCATCATAAATCATATCATTTGAAAGCTTAGAAGCCCAAGATTCATCCTGTGAAAACCATTTCGAAATCAGACAAAAAACATATCATTGGAAAGGTCTGAGTATCAGGATTCCATATTTCTATTTTGAGATAGAAGTAATATTGACAGAGATATCTAGACATTTGTGACAGAAAAATGCATAAAAAAAATTCAATGGAGTTTGGATGGCGCCCGGTGGCTGTTTGTGGTAGGCTATAACGCCCTAAATAAAATCTCAGGAACCTCAATTTTTTTCATATCAACTTCAAATTTGGAACATAACTTATTTAGACATAAGGCTATACTTTTATACCAATTTTAGAGTAAAACCTGATATGTAAAATATTTCTTATATATAAAAGTCACCTTTATCAAGTCACCTTTATTTATATAGCGCTTTTAACAATACAGATTGTGTCAAAGCAACTGAACAGCATTAATTAGGAAAATAGTGTCAATAATGCAAAATGACAATAGTAAACACTCATTTTTCAGTTAAAGACAGTTCATCATTGAATTCAGGGATGTCAACATCCAGCTCAGTTTAAATAATATCTTTGCAATCGTGTCAACGATATCGCCGGAAATTAAGTGTCCCCAACTAAGCAAGCCAGAGGCCAGAGCCAGAGGCTATATAAAATAAAATTAATATAGTGCATTTTCTTTACAGTAAATTGAAACTACTATAACTTTTTGATACTTAAATTTTTTTGAAAAAATTCCACTTTTGCGATCATATGCTGATTTTCTTCTTTAAAAAGACAGTTAAAGGGTTAAATCCAAAAATTACACAACAAGCAACTAATAATTCCCTTTTGATCACGAGATATGTAATAACTGGGTTTCTTGAAAAGTAATTTGCATATTATGTTAAAGAGAAATACCTCATTTTAAGCAACATTATAAGTTAACGTTAAAATGTCGTTAGTACTTAGAAAATATAATTCATTCATCCATTTTCGATAGCATGTTGATTTGTAACACATAGATGTCTTACCAGTTTGTGGCCGCTCTCCCGTTCACCACTTCGTTATATGCGTCTGTAAGCGCGGGTCCGTTTTTACTCAAGTTTACTGCCATAGTGGGTCATTGAACTTGCACAAACTCGTGGAGAACTTTTTAATGGAGATATACTCTTAATCCTGTCTTCCTCTTTCAGTGGACCGTCTTCTGCCGTTTTAAAAACGCACCTGTCCCATGAAATCTGGTTCAGCGAGTTTTGGGGAAATTGAAACGAGGAAGAGAGAGCACGTGTAGCCTATTTTCCTTACATATTAGTTAAGGAAACAAATATAGAAAACATTATATGGTGTTAAAAGAAATATATTAGGCTACAGAGAAAATGCTTCTGCCTTTCTGTCGATCAATAGACTAAACTAGCATTGGGAATCATTTTAGCGAATCGGTTTGTTCGGACCGTGTCGTTTTCATTGAATCAGTTCAAATGATTCACCGATACTTTTTAGTTAAAAGTATTCCATTTTGTTTCATTTTTGTGTCAAACTGTGATATTATTCGCCTATTGTTAACAGTATGAGCAGCAGTGTTGTTCAGACTTTACATATTTGCCGTTAAACCAAAAGTAATTCCGCAAACAATCGTTTGGACTGAATCACTGTTCAAAAGAACCATTTGTTCGCGAATCGCACTTTAGCTATTGATCAGAACGGCCACGAGGGAACTAGTTGGACTAGTAAAATCACATTTTTTTGCCGACACTTGAAGTATAGGCTAAACATAATACAATGCTTCATCCTTGCTTCAGAGACTGACAGATCAAGAGAAACTGGACGATCTGAAATATATCAGTGGCATGGTAAACATTCATTCAAGCTTCATGCAAAAGGGAATTTAGTGCCCAAATGCAACATATTATGCGAGTTATACTTTGCTGCATTCTGGAGAGATTCTGTAAAGAAAAAATGGTCTCTGTCAGGTGATCTCCAAACTCGTATAGGAAAGAGTCAGAGCTGTTAACTTGGCGAACTGAAAAAAGCATTGAACAAAGGGATGTCAATAATTGTGGCCAAAGAGAAAAACTTATTGCATAATGAGAGTTTCCCCAATTTTTGTTTTACTTCAATTAAAGTTTGGGTTCTTTAAAAAAAATAAAAAAAAGATAAAAGGGAGTAAGAATGCAGATTTATTTTCACATGCATCTTTGTTGATGGTGCTAGATTAAGGCCCGTTCACAACGATAACTATAACGACAATTATGCCTATATCTCGGATAAGCAGGGATCTTCTTTGACATCTTGAAGGGTTTGTGAATATGAATATTTAAATGCACAGGTGGCTTAGCCCTGATAGCACACATATGTCACGGAGATGTCTGTCTGACGTCTGCATTTACATCTGCAAGACTATTTTTTTAGAGTGTGTGCTCATCTGCAATGTGTCTATATAGGACGTTTCCTATCAGATGTCAAATAGGCATTTAGAAAATGTCTATTTGATTTAAAGTTTTAAGATTTAGACAAAGTTTTCTTAACAGAAATAGAACGTTAGTTTTTGGCTTGTAGAACAATATTTTAACATTCCCATAACGTTATTATATTGCTCCCCTAACCTCTTTAGCCTACTCCGCACACTCTACTTAACTACTTAGCACACTCGCGACCCAGTATAGTAGGCTATAAGCGGCATATAGCCTATAAGTGTAGCTATCCTGTGTGCTTTGACACATAGGCCTACATGGATGTACCCCTAGAACCGCCCCTGAGTGCAATTAGAGATAATGACATCTCCATGTTGTACAGATGCCAGATTTCAAATATTTAATAAATCAAAAACAGTTCAAGAGTTTTTCCAAGCAGTTCCCAGACTGAAGCTGCAAATGCTTTTATAAATTACATTATTATTGTTCCGTTTTGCTTGTTTCAACAACCTATTGTTGGGAAGTCGAGTTCGAGTCTCATACCGGTGGGGATTGTAGGTGGGGGGAGTGAATGTACAGCGCTCTCTTCCACCTTCAATACCACGACTGAGGTGACCCTTGAGCAAGGCACCGAACCCCCAACTGCTCCCCGGGCGCCGCCGCCGACTTGACTTGACTTGACTTTGGATGGGATAAATGCAGAGCACTAATTCCGAGTATGGGTCACCATACTCGGAATTAGTGCTCTGCATTTATCCCACTTCACTGCATTTATCCACATCACTTCACTATTTCTATTTTATTCTAAATGTTGCTCAGGTCTAAAACAATGGCTGCAGTTAGTAGTCTCATCATTTTGGCCCCTCATTTCGATCACGCTGTAAGACTTATGCAATGGTTAGCTTATTATAACAAAACAGAAAAAATGGGAATGGTTTGTCGAAGGAAAATCTTTGAATAGTTTGTAAGGGGAAACTCACATGTTTTGTCCATGTGGTCTCCAAATCTATTAGTTTACACTACATTTGAAGCAAAATAACTCAGCGCTTCAGTCTTCTCGAAGAATTCGAATCAACCTCACAATTTCAACCACACTAATTAATCTGCCAGAGAAAATCATATGCGTGCAATTAAATGCCGCTATTTTCTGTGACCACATATGCAGTTTGAGCCAAGATCATATTTGAATGAATTAATCGCAGATTTTCTCACACAAAGGCAGAAAACAGATGATTAGCAGTGGCTCTCATTATGACCCCTCCCAGCATCCGACTGTTCGTGATATGGCACTGCCAATGCCTTTTGGGCAGATTTCAACTCCTGCTGTCAGTCCAGAGTCTTTGTCTCTGGCTAAGATGACCCAGTTTTGCGGTCGGTGTTGTGTTGCAGCCCCAGCCGTGTGAGTGTGTATGTGTGTGTGCATGCAGGTCTGTGCTAAGCACGCTTGTTGACAGGTATGATATAGAGTGCATCTGCCCCCTGAGCCCTCTCACACACAGCAGACAATTGAGTGCGAGATCGTAATGGGAGCGGGGCCCTGAGGGCCCGGCCGTGGGGCTGGGAGGGCCGCGGCTCCTGTGTCATGGTTAGGCTGGTGTCAAGGTTTGAGTTTACGATCAACCCCCCCAGTCTTTCTCTTTCTCTCCACACACACTCAGCATTACTAAGCCATGTGCCTCACAGATCTCTGAGATTTCTCCCTTGAGGCCAATCCCTGGTAATCAAAATTAATTGCTTGTCCTTGAAACTGTAATCGGGTTTCACTTTTGAGCTCAATAGGCTCAAGCATTTCATTGTGATTATTGTCAGTTTAACACGAAGACTGGATGCTCGCATGAAAGCAAATGTTTTGCATGAGTGAATCTCACAAAACTTGTAAAGAGCTTGATTTGGTAGCATGGTTATATTTGATAACATGATAAAATAGCTTTACTGTCTAACTTTACAAAAAAATCTTGTGAAAAACTATGAAGGTCATATTTGTCCCCAAAATACATTTTTGTTGTTAAATGTTAAGTGGCAGAAAGAAAATAGCTTTACTGTCTAACTTTACAAAAAAATCTTGTGAAAAACTATGAAGGTCATATTTGTCCCCAAAATACATTTTTGCTGTTAAATGTTAAGTGGCAGAAAGAAAGAAAAAAAAAAAATATATATATATATATATAGTACATTTTATAAGAACATACTACTACTTTCTACTTCAAAACTTAAAAATTGATTAAATGTATTTCTTGCTGTTTCATTGTAATTCATTGTGAAATTTACTTGCAATTTCTGAGTGGCAATTGTTTCTTTTCTATATATATATTATATATTAATTTTCTTTTTTCTTTCTTTTTTTCTCTCTTTTTTCTTTCTTTCGTCTTCCTTCTTTTTTCATTTATATGTGAAATTGAAGCATTCCTGTAAAATTTGCCTAAAACACCTAAAAAAGCATGGCCAAGGTAAATTGCTCTTGAATCATTATATGCATGGTTTTGGTTTCTTTTGAAAGGTGACATTCTGAGGTTTGTTCCTAAACAGAACAAACCTCTGAATCACTTTAAGTCTTACTGGTATTGAGTAATAGAACTTTGAACACACTGAAAAAGGAAAAAAAAAACATTACGCCTACATTTTTTTTATTTGTAAACAGATGCCTGCATTTGACAAAGACACTGATTGTACCTGCTGTGTTGACTTTATCTTAAACTGGGTTAGGGTTAAGGTTCCATCATTCAAATCATTCAAATCACAAGAATCTCAGCTTTCCAAAGATATGTGACATGTTTAGCTATTTCTTTTTTTTGAGCTGTTGTATGTCATGAAGTTAACCCTCAAAAACACACAGTGTACCGCAGGCGGTACAGTGGAACACTAACAGGTTTTAATCTAACTTTTTTTTGTTTATTTGTAAACAGATGCCTGCATTTGACAAAGACACTGATTGTACCTGCTGTGTTGACTTTATCTTAAACTGGGTTAGGGTTAAGGTTCCATCATTCAAATCATTCAAATCACAAGAATCTCAGCTTTCCAAAGATATGTGACATGTTTAGCTATTTCTTTTTTTTTGAGCTGTTGTATGTCATGAAGTTAACCCTCAAAAACACACAGTGTACCGCAGGCGGTACAGTGGAACACTAACAGGTTTTAATCTAACTTTTTTTTTTTTGTTTTAATAACATGCATCTATTATAGGTGCCCTTAAATATATACTATATTTAGGGGCCTGGTTCACCCCAATTTCACCTCAAAATGAAAAGAAAAGTAAATAGAGGAAACTAGTATAGAATTATGCTATTGAATCAAATATTTACATTTTTAAAGAAATGATTCCAACATTTTCTGTTTAAATTCTCCTTTCTCTCTAATCTTTGATCAGATTTTCTTAAATATTGTTCCTCCTTTTGAGATGTGTTTTGCCCATATAACCCTTTTTTATTTTCTAAATTAGGACTTGCATTATCTGCTGTGCAAACACTGCTTTCCGGTCCATTTCCTCCAGACTGGTTTAAGACTGTGTGTCAACATCAGCAGTCAACTGGTGGATCGTATAGCATACAACTGAGAAAGAAGCTTAATTGAAACTTTTAAAAGGTTTTTCAATTACTTTGTCACATTTCTAGTCTTGCATGAAGTCAGACTGGCTCTTTCAGGACTTTTAGTTTGAATTTTCATCGGCGGGTCGCTGTAAACGTACAATGGCCTCATGGCCTGGGGGCTTTTTTTGTTTAATGTGTGATTGTTTGTGCCTGTTTCCCACTCAAACGTTTAGAATAAATAATCGCCCACCCCCTCTCACTGCTTACTTCTCCCACAGACACGCACACACAGTCCCATTAGCATCTGATTTGATACACATCATGTTAGTAAATGAATGGCAAGCTAGTGAGTCCCCCCTGCCAGGACAATCGATGAAATGCTCCTCAGGTGCAAACATCTCTCCAGGGCCGGTAGTCAAACCCCCAACCTCACCGAACCTCCTTATCAGAGCCATCCTTAATTAAGAGCCATTAACATTCTTTCTCACACCTTCCTTTCAGCCAAGCGGCTCGGCGGGTTCCAGACCCCTTGCTGTCAGGCTTGAATGAGCAATGTGCACATATATTCACAGGCCGGAGTGCAGCATGCTGGCCCTGAGCCGGATGGTGCCAGACCCCCGTCCCGCCTGCACGTGCAGTCCAAACACGGCGAGAGAGGCACTTTATTGTGTACATTGTGGGCATGTAATGTTTATTAATGCTTCGGCCATGTAAACCTTTGTTTATAATGCCAATAAAGCCTCTCACAATATTGCATTTTAACAGATGATGAAGGCCGGCGGTAATGAGTGTCCATTGCTCCGGCACAGCTGCTATCGCTTCACAGCACAATACAGCTGGTCTGCTCTAATTACCTCGGCCGTGAGCTGGTCATCTGAGAAAAATGTAAACCATTTAGAAGGAAACAGTGAGACGGCTTCAGAGTGAGTTATTGATAATGTGGCGTGTAGCACTTCATCTAGAGTTCACGCTGCTTCCTGCACATAAATTCATCTGGAGTCAAGTGCATAGGGTGCGTTTGCATGGCGCATGTAACACAGCCATATAGGTCTCAGTTTCATTATAATTGATAATGCACACATGGTTATATTTCCAATAGACCAATAATATAATTGTTAGTAATTTTAATGGAAATGCATGTAAAACTGCATCAGTGAGTTGGTTAATTCACTATACAGTCAATTAAAGATATTATCTTTAACAAGACAGCAATTTATAATGCTAAAATGCTTTAAAATACATGTATGTATTTAATTTATGCGTATGTTAAAAATTTATTATATTTAGCATAAAGAGACTTTTGAGGGGACTATTAAGATATTGACTATATTTTCAATAAATTATCATTAAATGTGAAACAAATGTTATATTATTTAAAATGTAAAGTTTTATGGATCTTTTATGAAGTTTTATGAAAAATGTATATATTATGATAATATTTGTTGTATTTGCTGTAAGTTATATTGAATTTATACAGTATATACGTATATATATATATATATACACACACACACACACACACAACAAGAGTAATATATATAGCAAGAAGACAGCACTATAAAATGCTATAAAAGTATATATTTTATTATTTATTTTGAAAAACTATACTGCATTTAACAACACAAATGCATTTGTTAAATCATTGATTACGACTAAAATCTTATTTTAAAAAAGTGTTATATACATGTAATATATATAAAAAAAAGATTTTTCACTCTAAAATATAAACATATAAGAAATTATATTTCACATAAAGAGACTGAATCCTATTTTTAGAACAAGATTTCGACATTATTTTCATCACAATTAAGCCCATTTCTCATTTCCCCCTCATTATTAAATGTGAAAAAATGTCACATTATTTAAATTGTAAAGTTTGTATATATTATGATAGAATTTGTTGTACTGCCTTTAATTTATTATTTTAATTTTAAAAATGATTCTCGTATTGCCTGCAAAGCAAAACTGGATATTAAGAGTTCTTTTCAGAGAATGCATTGTGAATATAACTCTAATAGTTTTTGTTCCACTGGCAGATGTGTTGTTCAGCTCTGTAATCAGAGAGAATCAGAGGTCACTGAGGAGGCCATAAACAGTTTTGATGTGCACTCCAGAGGCGTGAACTTCACCTCGATTCACTCTGACACATTTCACAGGGGACTTTTACAACCTGTGGGTTGCGGTGATCTAAACGACATTGTTTGCTTTGACTGTGGTTAGCACAGTGCCCACAGCATTTAATGCTTTATTTGGTGTGCTGAGAAGAGGCTTTTTTGTCAGGGTGACTGCTTTTTTATGGTGAGAGTTTGTCTCCTAATAGCACTTCATTTCCTTCCCACACTAGGCTGGCCAAAACAGAAGCAAACTGATGGCGTGGTCAAACCAAACACCTCAGATAACACCTCCACTGTCCACATGTCCTAAATGAGAGAATTGTTCATCTTAAGTTATGCTGTAAAAATGGCTTTGATAAATGTTAAAAATGTCATTTTAATGGAAAATAATGTAAAAGCACTACAGTACATTGGTTAGCTTATCATATACTGTATACAGTAAAATATAATATTCAATTTAATAGTAAAACATAATTTTACAGCTTAATAGGTACAACATGATAGTTAATTATCAGTCAAATAATCTTTTTGCATTTATAATATATAATTTTTTTTTTAATTATTTTATATCTAAAAAAAAAAAGATACATTTTAATATATTTTATATAATACGCCATTTAATAGTGTTAAATCAGGCTTTTTATTATTTAATTTTTTTTAATAAATATAAAAAAATATTATTATAAATAAAAAAAGCTACGTTGTTATATTATGTGTTTATTATGGTGGTTATAAGTATATTTTAAAGTACAGACATTGTATTAATTTTTTTTACGGAGAATTTCTGCCAACCACAGCAGCCCAAGTTTTTTTATTATTATTATAAATCTGTATATCATTTTCTGTAATAGTATGATAGTTTTTTAAAACATTAAATTAGATTTTATATTATATATTTTAAATCACATTGTTAATACTATAATATTCAATTTAATATAATTACATTTTGTTTTGTTTTTTTTTGTAAGTGAAAAAGCCATATTCTGTTACGTATTTATTATTATGGTTATTGCTAGTAAATTTCACAAATAATTACAAAGAAACATCAAGCAACACATTGAATGAAACGGGACATTCTGAAGTACAAATATTGAATTATAGTATTTCCTTGTAAAACATACTCCAATTTGTGTCATTTCTGAAATATTTTCCTTTACATAATATTAACTGGATTTTTACAGTAATAATATGTGTCTTATTGTCTGATTAATGTTTTTTAAACTCATTTTATTGATACTTGAGAATAACATCAAATATCAAATTCAATGGTATTCATTAAATAGTATTAATAGTTACTTCAGATTCTTTCAATTGTGAAAAGGTAATTATGCAGTCATATTTTAGACTTAGAAAAGAAAAGGGCTGACTCATAATTTTGGGGTAATGTGGTTCTGGTTAGTGATTATTGTCCAGAGGAACATTTTTTTCCTGGTCTCAGAGGGCATAATCTAATGTGGGGATAAATCAAATCAAGCCT